CACGTGCCAAGTTATTAAACGTAGTATTTTTGTTCTTTTATATTTCGGCTAAATTATCCAACAGTCGCCAGCGTCTGAAGGGATGGTGTAAATCCAGTTAGGCCCCATGCAGGTAGCAAAAGTAAGTAAGTCCCCATGGTTCCTAGTATGGTGATCTACCTTAAGTTGATTAGGAGCCAACACACTTGGTCCCTGACTGAGAACCAACATACTGTGCCCCTGACTGAGAACCAACATACTGTGCCCCTGACTGAGAACAAACATACTGTGCCCCTGACTGAGAACAAACATACTGAGCCCCTGACTGAGAACAAACATACTGTGCCCCTGACTGAGAACAAACATACTGTGCCCCTGACTGAGAACAAACATACTGTGCCCCTGACTGAGAACAAACATACTGTGTCCCTGACTGAGAACTGACTGAGCCCCTGACTGAGAACAAACATACTGTGGCCCTGACTGAGAACAAACATACTGAGCCCCTGACTGAGAACAAACATACTGTGCCCCTGACTGAGAACAAACATACTGTGCCCTGACTGAGAACAAACATACTGAGCCCCTGACTGAGAACAAACACTGTACTGACTGAGAACCAACATACTGCCCTGACTGAGAACAAACATACTGTGCCCCTGACTGAGAACAAACATACTGACTGAGAACCCATACTGACTGAGAACAAACATACTGTGCCCCTGACTGAGAACAAACATACTGTGCCCCTGACTGAGAACAAACATACTGTGCCCCTGACTGAGAACAAACATACTGTGCCCCTGACTGAGAACAAACATACTGTGCCCCTGACTGAGAACAAACATACTGTGCCCCTGACTGAGAACCAACATACTGTGCCCCTGACTGAGAACCAACATACTGAGCCCTGACTGAGAACCAACATACTGTGCCCCTGACTGAGAACCAAACATACTGAGCCCCTGACTGAGAACAAACATACTGTGCCCCTGACTGAGAACCAACATACTGAGCCCTGACTGAGAACCAACATACTGTGCCCCTGACTGAGAACCAACATACTGAGCCCCTGACTGAGAACCAACATACTGAGCCCCTGACTGAGAACCAACATACTGAGCCCCTGACTGAGAACAACATACTGAGAACCAACATACTGGCCCTGACTGAGAACAAACATACTGACTGACTGAGAACAAACATACTGAGCCCCTGACTGAGAACAAACATACTGAGCCCCTGACTGAGAACAAACAACATACTGACTGAGAACCAACATGCTGAGCCCCTGACTGAGAACCAACATACTGAGCCCCTGACTGAGAACCAACATACTGAGCCCCTGACTGAGAACAAACATACTGAGCCCCTGACTGAGAACAAACATACTGAGCCCCTGACTGAGAACAAACATACTGAGCCCCTGACTGAGAACAAACATACTGAGCCCCTGACTGAGAACAAACATACTGTGCCCCTGACTGAGAACCAACATACTGAGCCCCTGACTGAGAACCAACATACTGAGCCCCTGACTGAGAACCAACATACTAACCCCCAACAAAATGGACCCTGACTGGGAGCCAACAAAATGGGCCCCTGACTGGGAGCCAACATAATGAGCCCCCGACTGGGAGCCAACATAATGAGCCCCTGACTGGAAGCCACCACACTGTGACTGACTGAGAAGCAAAATACTGGGCCACTTGGCCAATAACTAAAACACCTAACAGCTTCTGTTGGTATAATGTGAATGCTAAATTTGGGGACAAGGGAGTTAATGTACAGATACTTTCCTCCTTGGTCACAAAAACATGTACATGCCCTTAAACCCAAACTCATCTCACACTATTCTGACCCTCACTCTACAACACACACGAACTCACAACAACCATATGAAATATAGTCAACTGTCATTAAGCAGATATTTGTTTTCCATTAAGATGCAGTCGTTGTATCAAACTTGTATCACGGATAAGCTATTAGAAGAGAAGGAATGTTTTTATTGATTTTGTTATCTCAATCAGTAGCCTCTACCTTACACATTTCTGGCCCTCACTCTACAAAACGCACGAACGTACCGCAAGCCATTTGAATAAGCCAATGTTTATTACATGTATATGCAGTCGTTGTTTTCTTACCTTTATGACGGATACGGCGTCTCTATGAACCCAGCGCAAATACGACCTACTGGAAAACAAGGAACGTGTTTTGTGATTTTTGAAATAATCGTTCGGAAATCGCCACCACTTCTCCAAGTTCAGGTGATGCTTATCCGAGTGTAATGGTATCAGTCAACTGCAAGCCTGCAACCTCCCCAAGGTGTTGCCTGATTGTATGTGTAGCACAGGCTTCAATACATAGAGAATACAACACGAGGTCTCATTACATACGAATTATACGAAACGAGTGTCCTTCCTATGATATCTGACCGGGCGAAAGCGAGGTCAGAAACCATAGGAAGGTCACGAGTTTCGTATAATTCGTATGTTTTGAGAACGAGTGTGGTATTTTATTTATTGCCCACGTCTTACATGCTTTAAATTGACAAAATAGCTTATTTTTGTTATTTTTATGGTTTAAAACCGAAACCGGTTTCATAAAGAGGTTGCGGAAGAATGTTGTTCTGTAATACACTTTTGCATGACGTCACACTGTAATGACGTCACTACGCCTTGCTCGTCTGCCCCCTTGGTAACCGACGTCACGATGCATGTCACACTCCGGCGCAATCTCCTACCCAGAGTTCCATGCGGCCAGCCAGCATAGTATCTCTGCCACAGGCCAGAAAAATGTGACGATTCGTCACATCTTGCAATGTCCATTCAATATAATGTACAGATTTCTTTCACTCTTTTTGTTTTGACGAGTCTACACATCTAACTAAACATCTTTAATAGAATGGTTTAGTTTCACTGAGAAAATATCCAAAAACATGTAACAATATTTCGATTTGCGTAGCGATCCTTTGTTTACATAGGTTGTACGGCTCCACGTGCTGTCATCGAAGCCGACGGAGAGCAAACACACTTTGATTATTGAGAGTGGAGAAGGGGTAGACAGCTACACGCTATTTGTACAGGTAGTATTTGAATACCGCCGGTGTAACAGAACACGATCCGGGGTGCCCGTGGGCATGGTTCCAGGAAATTGTTACTATATATGTACTATATGTAGCTTTTGAAAGCGCCTGAAAGATTACACAACACATACCTCGTCACTGGGTAACTCAACTGGCCACTGTTACACACTGAAATGTATTCATGCATCTGTGACAAAAGCGACCTGGTAGACAGTAAATTACAAAATAAAAATAAACCATATATGATACAGAAACAAGACAGATGTTTCCGCTACGTGCCAATGTGATTGGTATTTTGATACCATAGTCACTTTGTAATATACTCGGCGTCATTAATGAAAGGTCAGGCTCTTTTTTTGTTACAACTATTTTTTAATAGTTGTAAAATCCTCGTTCTTGTTGGAAATATATACAACTGAATGTTTTACAAACTGTCATAACAATATGGAAAAACCCATCAGGCCGTTGAAATGTCATTATTACGTTCTTTAACGTCCGATACATTCTGTTTCAAATTGTCAATATGGAAATCCACCTGCCACTTCATGTCAATGATTTGCACGTGCAAGTCGCTCTATCCATGGGGTCCATGGGACGGGATCGGGTGGTCAGGCTCGCTGACTTGGCTGACACATGTCATCGTATCCCAAGTGCGTTGATTGATATTCGTGCTGTTGATCACTGGATTGTCTGGTCCAGACCTGATATTTACAGACAGCCACCATATAGCTGGGATAATGCTGAGTGCGGCCCAAAACTAAACTCACTCTATCCATGGGATGGGGAGGGCAATCAACGTCTGGAATCAATTCTGGAATCAACGTCAATGGTCTCGTGTGCTCTTCACAGAAGATAGCAGGTTCAATTTGTCTTTCCATGATGGTCGGCAGAGGATTTATCGTCGCAGTGGAGAGTGAATCACAGATGCAACTGTGGCCACGCAAAGCCGATTTGGTGGGGAGTCGGTCATGGTTTGGGTAGGGATAACTCCTACTGGACGTAGTCCACTGCACGTGATCGACGGTAATTGTAGTGTATGGGCTTGTGTGGCAGATACATGTATGGGAGACAACTCCTGCAGCCTTATGTGACGGTAGCGGCAAGCTGATTAGAGTTTCGTCCCTTGGGGACCCCTGCTTGTAACCCCCACTTCCTGAGTAAACGCTCGACGTAGAAGTCATGGTATTTTATTATTCTGTTCGGCCACGGCCTTGTGTATAAGATTCAAATACACAACAGTAATCTTACCGGACAGCGTTATCGGGACGAGATTATGGCTCCTATAGCAGTACCATTCCTGCAAGCTGTGCATGACTATTATGGTCGATCCTCTTTACTGCAAGAAGACAACGCTGAGTCTCACAGGGCCAGGATTGTTACGGAATTCCTTAGGCAGCATGGTGCAGGGCGGGTTGAGTGGCGAGCATGCTCGTTAGATCTCAACACAGTTGAGCATGCCTTGGATGAACTCGGTCGACTTGTGTACACACGTCACTCAGCACCAGTGGATCTCACAGGTCTCCGCAGAGCTCTAGTAGAGGAATGGAATGCGATTCCGCAAGCTTTCTTGCATAAGAACAATATGCACTTGTGTCTAGGACGCGCGAGGAGATATTGAATGACCAAGTGCTTCATTTCTCCCAGTTTCAATTTGGGGGTATTGTTCTTTACAACTGATGTTGCTCGTGCTGTTTGAACGTTTTGTCAAGATGTGTCACGTTTGTCAACTTTTCTTTACATGTGCTATATATCATTTGACTCTTTATTAATGACACCTTGTACATTATAATTAACAATAGTTTAACTTTATCATACAGACAATAAGGAACGTTAATTTTTACCTGTGTCCGTTTTACCATCCGTGTTGCCAAATGATTGTAATACTTATTAAACATATGACTTGTGTCTTGAGGCAGAAGAAGATGAATGTGATAAATAGCACTTATATTTTTTAATGTTTAAAGCGAGAACATTGTACACGTAGTCGAAGCTACCCATTTTATTGCAACACACGCAAAGATTAAATCACTGATAACCCGATTACGATCGGAATGACTCACGTCCAATCAATTCTATACAACAAGAGACCAACCAAAAAGACGATTGAGTGGTGACCATTTACAAAATCTATACGAAAAAGAGCAGCATCAAAACTTTGAGACTTAAAGTATTTAAGTTCATAATACATGCAAATACTTTGTCCTCCTAGAGAGAATAATATATGTTCTCGGGGAGCAGTTTATCCTGCATTCGCTTTGCACTTGACGCAGACATAATACTAATTTAACCGAGCCTGAGTCAGTAGTTAAACAAATCGACGTCCCTAACAATGTCTTAAACAGCATTATGGATCAAGGCGAATATCGCAGCACTTAAGTACATAAAAGTAAATCCAGATTATTATGACTGACTACTTTGGTGTTTCAGTGTTGATTTCACCCATGCACTTTCTTCACAGTGATCTACATTTAACAAACTCCTGCGAAGTCTGACAAAACGGAGACAATACAGGAAATAACGGTTTGATAGTAACGTAATTCCAAAATATATAAATAAAATTCTTATACTGAACGCAAACGTTTTTAAAGCTGCTGACAACTGTAAACTGAAGATTAGCGTGACTGTACATGTGTTAAGGGCTGTGTAACTGGCAAATTATACTGAGAAAATCACTGACATACACAATTTCACACAGTTGGATCCTATCGGAACACGCACCGGTTAGCAATGTACACTGTTTTTCACCCCACATTGAGGGTGGAGATAAGGAGCTCACAAATGCGGCGATTTAAAATAAAAAGATGAAATGTATACAACACTGCTAGAATAGATAAAGATTCCGCATAAGATGGGCACATTTATTGACTTATGACATGTTATAGCCTGTAAAGTGGGTTGCAACATTAAATATCTTGGAGATTTCCCACTGCCCTACAACATTTTTTGAAGCCTTCTGGATGCTTAATGTTCAACGCTATGCTAAGTCACACTCAAACTTTTATAACGGCGGACTGTAGATAACCGAGTCAAATCTGGTAATGGACAAGACAAACAGGTGATCAATACAAGGAGCATCGCCCTGTCCCATTAGAGTATGATGACATTTGAAATCCACTCAGCCTGACCACCCAATCCTGTAGAAACCAAAGCTACAACCTAACCCGAAAACACATATGGGAAAGTCGAAATTGAGCTTAAATAACCATCTTGATGTCAGAATAACAAAACAATATCAAAGCAATCGAAAGTATCATAACTGCACTTCCATCAATAGCCTAATTTCTATTACAGAACATCAGCGTCATATTTTACGTGAAATGACACAACACCATCGGATTTGCGGATAGATGTCGGTAGCGTGCGACGTAACTTTACATAAAGCACAACCATTTTCTTATAAAACTACTGTCAATACTTAAGGTAATACAATGTAATTCAAATAAGTCAGAAAAGACATACGCAATGGTGAAATTTGTCAACAGCAGTTTGTTTTCTCAGGAGGGTCACATTCTAAACTATCCTGTTGTATACGATATATCATATCAACTTATCATAGAAGTCTACTAATCATGATCATTTTCAGGTTCACAGTTATGATTCAGCCAGCCATCAAATGATCTCAACTTCACATAAGTAGGAATATCCACCCATATACAACACTCGGTTTTTCATTCACTCAGTTTTGCGCTTCCTGTCAGTCTGTCCCTTGCAACAACACTTCCGACAGATCCATACAACAGCAGTAGTAATAACACCGACAATAACAGCAATAGTAACCCATACATCAGCATAGATATAACTAACAAAGCTAACAGAGGGAGGCCGCATGTGGTCTCCTCCGTATTTGAGAACATGTTCTACAGCAGATGCTGCACGATCAGCAGGCTTTTCTGGTCTGTCACGTAGGAGGCTTGACATCCTCTTCATGTTCTGGCGGATAACTGTGCTCTCAAGTACCTGCCTTATCTTTTCAAACAGATCATCAACACTGTCATCAAAAATTTCGATTCTAGATCCGATGTTGTATTTCTTTACTTTTATGGCTGTGGTGAATGTTTCTGCGTGGATTGGCATACAAATGATAGGAACTCCGTGATACACTGCCTCCCAAAATCCATTCTTTCCACAATGAGAAATAAACACTTTCGTGTTGGGGTGACCTAGGATATCATTTTGTTGTATCCACTTCATGCTTTTGATGTTGCCGCGGATTTCCTCTTTATCCTGCTTGAACAGAACTTGGTACTTTAGTCGACCAAAGGCAGACATCAGCTTTTCAATCAATGACGACGGAAACCCTTTTATCAGGCTTCCAAAGGTCACAAGTACAACACCGTCTGTTGCCGCATCCATGTACCTCTTCATCTCAGCTGAAAGTGGATTGGCTGGGCTTGCTGTCAGACCACCACACTGAACAAAATTCGGAAACACAGCTTTCGGGTAGTCAATTATATAGTCGGAGTTTTCTATAAAAAGCAAAGACCTTTTCACCAGATCACTTCCGTCGACACCTTCCAGTTTTTTATCCAAGACAGAGTAGTCTATAGATTGTATAAACACTTTAAACACAAGAGGAGTGACGAAGGAGGATAATGTGTTGAGGAATCTTTCAGGGAATGTCATATCATTGGTGAAACTAGACGTAATGTGAGGAATTGTGTTACTTTGTAGAGGCATACCAGTGTCTCTGGGGTCAAGGTAGGAGTACACAGCAACTGTTGGAACCCCAAGATAGGCGGCGATTGCAAACAGACATTCAGAACCAGGCATTCGAGCCACCAAAGCAATGTCATATTTGTCCTTTTTCAACCTTTCTAAAACAACCCTATCTTTCATTGCAGCACTGCAGTGATTATGGATCATAGGCTTCATAATGTTCAAAAACATTTTCCACTTATAATCTCGATTAAAGATGATTTTGCCTGCAGTTGCCATAATATCATCATGTGCCTTCTGCATCGATGGATCCAGATCAGGAACAATAAGAGTGAACTGCTCCTTGAAAGCCTCCGTATCAAACCTACCGATACAGGATTTGGGATCAGAGAGGACAGCAAACAGGGTAACGTCATGGCCTCGTTTCAGAAGAGCTTGCCCAATGGACATAATTTCCAGGCAGTGGCTTGTTGTTGGAGTTGGCATAAGAAGAATCTTGGCCCCATGGCAACAACTGACAAATGTGGTCAGAAGGAGGAACGTAGAGAGTGACATCTTTCAATTGAAACTCCTGAAACATAAACAGAAAATCATTACTTATCATTGAAGTTGTGCTGGAAATGTCCCAAACTGTAAGTGGGCAAAAGAATTGTGTTGATATTTCAGTGAAATCACCTCTTGTCAGCTCAGTATGTGAAAAAGTATGATCGAATCAATGATCAGTGGGGTAACAACATGTAGTGACGGCTACACCTACCCCTTAAACGACAGGTCGGATGGCAGTCCATCATACTGAGTGAGCCCCCAACTGTCACCATCCACATATAAAGACCCTGACTGGCAGCACATCATCATGTCTGAGCCCCAGACTATCTGACTGACAGCGCATTATACTGGCCAACACACTCAGTCCCCGACTGAGAACCAACAGGCGGAGAGCCAAAATAATGTGTCCCTGACTGAGAAAGAACATAATCAGCCCATGACTGAGAACCAACACACTGAGCCCCTGACTGAGAACCAACATACTGAGCCCCTGACTGAGAACCAACATAAAGAGCCCATGACTGGGAACCAACATACTGAGCCCCTGACTGAGAACAGACATAATGAGCCCATGACTGAGAACCAACATACTGAGCCCCTGACTGAGAAGCAACATAAAGAGCCCATGACTGGGAAACAACATACTGAGCCCCTGACTGAGAACCAACATACTGAGCCCCTGACTGGGAACCAACATACTGAGCCCCTGACTGAGAACAGACATAATGAGCCCATGACTGAGAACAAACATACTGAGCCCCTGACTGAGAACCAACATAAAGAGCCCATGACTGGGAAACAACATACTGAGCCCCTGACTGAGAACAGACATAATGAGCCCATGACTGAGAACCAACATACTGAGCCCCTGACTGAGAACAGACATAAAGAGCCCATGACTGGGAAACAACATACTGAGCCCCTGACTGAGCAGCAACATAAAGAGCCCATGACTGGGAACCAACATACTGAGCCCATGACTGAGAACAGACATAATGAGGCCATGACTGAGAACCAACATACTGAGCCCCTGACTGGGAAACAACATACTGAGCCCCTGACTGAGAACAGACATAATGAGCCCCTGACTGAGAACAAACATACTGAGCCCCTGACTGAGAAGCAACATAAAGAGCCCATGACTGGGAAACAACATACTGAGCCCCTGACTGAGAACCAACATACTGAGCCCCTGACTGAGAACCAACATACTGAGCCCCTGACTGAGAACCAACATAATGAGCCCTTGACTGGGAACCAACATCCTGACCCCCTGACTGAGAACCAACATATTGAACCCATGACGGGGAACCAACATGATGAGCCCCTGACTGGGAACCAACATACTGAGCCCATGACTGGGATCCAACATACTGAGCCCATGACTGGGAACCAACATACTGAGACCATGACTGAGAACCAACATGATGAGCCCCTGACTGAGAACCAACATACTGAGCCCATGACTGAGAACCAACATAATGAGCCCATGGCGGGGAACCAACATGATGAGCCCCTGACTGGGAACCAACATACTGAGACCATGACTGAGAACCAACATAATGAGCCCCTGACTGCGAAACAAAACATACTGAGCCCATGACTGGGAACCAACATACTGAGCCCATGACTGGGAACCAACATAATGAGCCTCTGACTGAGAACAAACATACTGAGCCCATGACTGGGAACCAATATACTGAGCCCCTGACTTAGAACCAACATAATGAGCCCCTGACTGAGAACCAACATACTGAGCCCATGACTGGGAACCAACATCCTGACGCCCTGACTGAGAACCAACATAAGGAGCCTCTGACCAACATACTGAGCCCATGACTGGGATCCAACATACTGAGCCCCTGACTGAGAACCAACATACTGAGCCCATGACTGGGAACCAACATACTGAGCCCATGCCCTTGTCTTTACAGAGTTCTCTCCTTTTCCGGGTACTTGATTCCTAGAAATAGGACTCGATTCCAGCTGTACTCGACCCGGATTCGAGTACCCGTCCAAGCCCTCTTTTCTGATCCTCACTCTTTCGAACGCACGATCGTACCACACGCCATTTGAAAAAACTGTGAAAGGTCATTAAGCCAATGTTTATTACATTTAGATGTAGTCGTTGAATTCTTACCTCTATCACTGGTACGACGTCTCTATGAACCCAGCACAGATATGACCTATTGGAAAACAAGGAACGCCTTTTGTGTAAGTTCCCTGATTCGTTCGAATAATCTCCAACTACACTCCTAGTTCAGCTGATATCTATCCCAGTGTATGTGTATCAGTCAACTAAAAAGCCTGCAACCTACTCTGGGTATTGCATGATTGTAGTGTAGGACAGGTTTCAATACAATGTCCTTGAGGCGGCAGACGACGTGGTGTACACACTTATCGACCTCGGTTTTTGAGGGTGGAGAAGGGGTAGACAGCTACAGGTAGTAACGTGGATTTGAAAACCGCCGGTGTGACAAAACAAGAGTCGATGTTCCCGTCGGCATGGTTCCAGGAAATTGTTGCTATACACCTCTCTCTCTCACACACTCACTCACACACACACACACACACACACACACACACACACACACACGTGTGTGTGTGTGTGTGTGTGTGTGTGTGTGTGTGTGTGTGTGTGTGTGTGTGTGTGTGTGTGAGAGAGATGTATTTATATAAAATTCAGTGGCAAAATAGAGAATATGTTCAAATTGTTTAACGTTTATTATCACCTGTGTCAGTTCTACTTTCCGTTCATAACTGTGCACTGCCAACTGATTATTATACATATGACTTGTGTCTTGAAACAGAAGAAAATGAATGTGATAGACAGCATTGATTTTTCTAATGTTCAAAGTGAGAAAATTGTACATGTTGCCGAAACTACCCTTTTTATTTCTTAATGATATAGCAACACACGCAAAAATTAGATCACTGATAACCCGATTATGATCTGAATGAGACACGTCCTGTCAATTCTATACAGCTGGAGACAAACCGAAAAGACGATCATCACCTTTGTTGTTTCAACGTTGATTTCAACAATTCACCTTCTTCACAGAGAGGACCATTTAACATACCCCTGCGAAGCCTGACAAAATTGAGACATTATAGAAAATAACGGTTTAATAGCGATATAATTACAAATTAGACCTGAAATTCTTATATTGAAAGCAAACGTTTTAAAAGCTCCCAACAACTGTCGACTGAAGAAATATCCTCACGCTGTCATGGCTGGACATGAGTTAAGGGCAGTGTAACTGGCAAATTATACTGAGAAAACCACTGGCACACACAATTCCTATCGGAACAATATGCTTAAAATGTTCAAATCAAAACATGCCGATAAAGTCCGGTGACTCTATTCACAGGCACCGAATAGCAATGTACACTGTTTTTCACCCCAACATTGAGGGTGGAGATAGGGAGCTCACAAATGCGGCGTTTTAATATCAAAAGCTGAAATACATATAACACTGCTAGAATAGATAAAGATTTCACATAAGATGGGCACATTTATTGACTTATGACATATTATAGTTTGTAAAGCGGGTTGTAACATGAAGTATCTTGTATATTCCCAACAGCCCTACAGCAATTTTAAGAGCCTTCAACTCGATCAATCTTCAACGCTATGCTTAAACACACTCAAGCTTTTATGACGGCCGACTGTTGATAGCCAAGTCAAATCGGGTTCTTGACAGGTGATCAATACCAGGAGCATCGACCCGTGCCATTAGAGTACGATGACATTTGCAACTGTCTACTCATCACGATCACTTTCAGTTTCATAGTCATGATTCGGGCAGCCATCAAATGATCTCAGCTACACATAAGTAGGAATATTCTACTTATAAGCTCATACACAAAACTAGGGCTGCAACGATTCAGTTCGATTAATCGAAAATCGAATCGGACACCTTAGTTTCGATTTTCGATAACCATTATCACTATTTCGATTCGATATTTGAATATCTATTCAAATTATTTCTACACACTTGACTTTTGAAAGTTTTACTTTATTAACGTTTATGGTCCTTGACATGGGGACAAGAAAGTGAAAAGTGTTGTTCTGTGTTTAAACATCATATTTTATTTCTTTGAAAAAGGTTACATCATTTACAAATCGTGGAAATAAACTTTCAGTGAGATGTGTTTTTTGTAATAAACTATGAGAGTTAAATGAAATCTGACGTTTTTACTTAAATGAAGAATCGAATCGAAAATGATCGAATCCATGGTCCAATATCGAAAATCGAATCGAATCGGGGTCTAGGTGAATCGCTGCAGCACTATACAACAGTTTTTCATTCACTCAGTTTTTTGCTTCCTGTAATGGAAGTCTACTAATCATGATCATTTTCAGGTTCATTTTCATTATTTTTCAGCCAGCAATCAAATGATTTCAACTTCACATAAGCAGGAATATCCACCCATATTCAACACTCGGTTTTTCAGCTAAAAGTGGATTTGCTGGGCTTGCTGTCAGATCACCGCACTGAACAAAATTCGGAAACACATCTTTCGGGTAGCCAATGATATAGTCGGAGTTTTCTATAAAAAGCAAAGACTTCGTTACCAGATTGTTGGCGTCGACACCTTCCAGATTTTCATCCAATACAGAGTAGTCCACTGATGGTAAAACACTTTGAACACAACAGGAAAGGCGAAGAAGAATAATGTGTTGAGAAGTCTTTCAGGGAATGTCATGTCATTGGTGAAACTAGACGTAATATGAGGACATGTGTTACTTTGTAGAGGCATCCCAGTGTTGGTGGGGTCTAGGTAGGAGCAAACAGCAGCTGTTGGAATACCAAGATAGACGGCGATTGCAAACAGACATTCAGAACCAGGCATTCGAGCCACCAAGGCAATGTCATAATTGCCCTTTTTCAACCTTTCTAACACAATCCTATCTTTCATTGCAGCACTACACTGATTATGGATCATAGGCTTCAGAAAATCAAGAACTATTTCCACATACCATCTCGATTAAAAATGAGTTTGCCAGCAGTTGCCATCATA